TTTGCTTACTCAGACTATGATAGGAAACAGCCAATAATTCCTTACTGTGAGGAAGTGGGAAATTAGGAATAAAGTGAAACATTTCTCTAAAAGGCTGCAGTATGTGGCTGGGCTAATTTAGCTCTGGAAAGGGTTGATAGGGCCCTTTTTAATCTCCTCTGCATCCTTTTAAGCTTAAACACCTTCTTAAGACTCGCTGTTGAGTCCTGCTGACTCAGTCTGCACCCTTAGAGCTGCTGCAAAGCCACAGCAAACTTTGCCTTCCTGTCAGGGCTGAAAATGGGCCCCAAAATGGGCAGAAAGTAGAAAACCCAACAGAAAATGAAATACCAGATGTCAGATGGATCCTGGACCTGCACCAAGCTTGTGTTCCCTGGGACCTGAAAGGCATCTGGCAGATTTTTGGTAGGGTGGCTGGGCTAGAGGGTGTCTCCATGAGGCACAGTTATCCATCAGAGCACAGATTTCCCAGCTGCAGTTTGATAAAAGTCCTGGAGGAGAAGGACCTGGGGGTGTTGGCTGACAGTCGGCTTCACATGAGCCAGCCCTGTGCCCACGTGGCCAGAAAAGCCAACGGCATCTTGGCCTGTATTAAAAACAGCGTGACCAGCAGGGCCAGGGAGGTGATCATCCCCCTGTGCTCGGCACTGGTGAGGCCGCACCTCGAGTGCTGTGTTCAGTTGTGGGCCCCTCACTATCAGAAGGAGGTTGAGATTGTGGAGCGTGTTCAGAGAAGAGCCACAAGGATGGGGAGGGCTCTGGAGAACAAGCCTGGTGAGGAGCGGCTGAGGGAACTGGGCTTGTTTAGCCTGGAGAAGAGAAGGCTGAGGGGAGACCTCATCACCACCTCCAACTGCCTCAAGGGAGGTTGTGGAGAGGTGGGTGCTGGGCTCTTCTCCCAGGTGATGGGGGATAGAACAAGGGGAAACGGCACCAAGCTGTGCCAAGGGAGGTTCAGGTCAGAGATAAGGAGGAAGTTCTTTCCTGAGAGGGTCGTCAGAAGCTGGAACAGGCTGCCCAGGGAGGTGGTGGAGTCACCATCCCTGGATGTGTTTAAAGAGCGGGTAGATGAGGTACTTAGGGATATGGTTTAGGGGGTAGACAGGAATGGTTGGACATGATGATCTCAGGGGTCTTTTCCAACCGAGCGATTCTGTGTGTGACTCTGTGTGTGAAAAGCCCCTTCAGGAGCTGTACGATATAAAATATCTTTGTATTTGGGTTACATCTTCTTAACCTTGTTTATCCCCAGGCTCGTTCATGTACCCACACAGGAATAAAGTGGATGTATCTGTTGGATTGAGGCAGAAAGACCTCTGATAGTATAAAATGTTACATTTGTATGGATAGCAGAAACGAGACTGCTCGTCCCAGTTTCTCCTCTCCTTGCATCCTGTATTTCTTTCTTACTCAAATCACTGAGCAGCGCTGGCTTCTCACCATCTCAGCCGTGACTTCTCGTGCAGGTGAAGCAGCTTTTCCCTTGGAAATGAAAACTAAACTTCTGCTAGAGAATCCCCTCGCTGGCAGGACCCAAAATGCAGCTCAGCATCATGAGAGAGCCTGGTTTTTCCCTTTTAGATCTGCTCATAGTTAAACTGCAGCTCATTTAATGCTCACACTCTGGTGTGCAGAAGATGCCCTCCTCGAGCTGCTGCTTTGATCGCTGGAGCTGGGGTGATGCAGAGGTTTAACAGCCGGGTTTATTTGGCACTGCAAAGGCATGGGGTGCTCTTGGACCAGAATGGCTGATATGGGTTCAGAAAAACCTCTGTTAGCCCTCATGTCTTTTGTTAATAAGTGTGCTGTGCTAAAGAGACCAGACCTGGCTCTTGTAGAGGAGATATTCCTGCTAAATAATGCGAATTTTGCATTTCAATGGGTCTTTGATAACTTTCCCAGCTGAAAGTGGATTTCCCACCATTTAAAGCGACTGCTGCTCCTTTGCGTTATCTCATTCCTGCAGGTTGGTACAAGATGCAACACAGAACCCAGGGAAATGAACTGCAGGGCCTCAAAATCATAGAATCACAGAATATGAGGAGTTGGAAGGGACCTTGAAAGCTCCCCCAGCCCAACCCCCAGAGCAGGATCACCAGAGCAGTCACCCAGGAACACGGCCAGGGCTTTGGGTGTCTGCAGAGAAGGAGACTCCACACCTCTCCACAGCCTGGGCCATGCTCTGTACCTGACACTTGCCCTTTTCAAATTGATCCCAGGAATGAGGTCTCCCCTCAGTCTCCTCTGCTCCAAGCTCCAGAGCCCCAGCTCCCTCAGCCGCTCCTCAGCAGGAGATGCTCCACTCCCTCCATCACTTGGTGGCCCTGCTGGACTCTTTCAAGCAGTTCCTGTCCTCCTGGAGCTGAGGGCCCAGCACTGGACACAAGATTGCAGCTGTGGTGTGAGCAGGGCAGAGCAGAGGGGCAGGAGAACCTCTCTGCCCTACACCCACCCCTTCTCATCCAGCCCAGGATGGCGTTGGCCTTCTTGGCTCAAGGGCACATTGCTGGGTCATGGGATCTGCTGCCACCAACACCCCAGGTCCTTTCCAGCCACTCGTCCCCAAGGCTGCAGCGTCCATGGGGTTGTTGTGACCAAAGCGCAGGACCCAGCCCTTGGCCTTGTTGAACCCCACACCATTGCCCTCAGCCACAGATTCAGCCTGGCCAGGTTCCTCTGCAGAGAGACTGAGGCACCCGATTTTTGTTACTTTTGGTATCTCCCATTCATCCTGACACCTCCTTGGTTTTGTTGAACTTCTCAGCCTCTCTCAAAAGAGATAAATTTCCTTTTAATTGTGCCCTAAGAGATGCACTGACAACGAAGGAAACAAAGGAGATCTTTTGAGACAAATACCAAAATAAGCCAAAAAACCACTGGTAGCCTAAAGCTTTACATGAAACCAGTTGAGCTGGGGGTAGGAGGGAAAACTTATATGTAGGGAGAGCACCACTGTGTTTATTCTTATAATGTCTGTGTGTTTAAAAAGTGTGGCTGAGCTCAATAGGCAGCTTTATGCCTGACCAGGAGGCAGTTCTGCTGTGTTAAATGGGAAATCTGCAGTGTTGAAAAAGGAGGAAACGGTTGGGAAAGGTAAGGTAAGGAGGAAGAGGCTTGAAAATGAGATTATGAAAGGAATTACTCTTGTATAAAACGGGTTTGAAGATACAGGGTGATGCAGGCACCTTGAGAAGAGCTGGGTGTTGGCATAGAGTTTGCTTTGAGGGAGCATCTCTAGGCCTGAATATCTCCAAAACGTGAATACATTCAAGTGTGTGAGTGATGAAGTGAACACAGTGATCTCAGAGTAGGAGCCAGACCCCATCTGAAACTGCCCAGCTCTGAGCCGATCCATAATTTCCCCCACAGTTGTGTCCTGTGCCTTGCTGCCTGCATTAATTGATTTCAAACACTGTTTAAAACCCACCTCTGGGTGGATACCTGGTACCTCACCCCTTCTCCTCCAGGATAAGGAGCTGAGCATGTTCCCTGTGCTCTTGTCCCCAAATCTGCCTCCTGTGTTGTGGTGTTTTCCCAACGTGCTCCATCCTCCTTAACCCCTTTTGATAGCATCAGCACCTCTTTGTGTTGCCAACCCAAAACCCCTCTCTGCAGCTGGGAGCCAGGGGTGATGCCTCTGCAGTTGGGGTGCATTTTCTTTGGAAAATCCAACCTTTAAAATTGAGTTTTCCTCAGGGAGATGGGAAGGTTTCAGGCACATTCAAGACTGCTGTTCCCATCAGCTTTTCCCTTTCCATTTTCCTTTTTTTTGGGGGTCACTTTTGAGGTGTCCTTTTCCTCCTGGCTGCTTTAATGTGTTGGTTTATGAAGTTTTGGAGTTGTCCTGCTTGGAATAAACAGTTCCAAGGCTGTTTTGTTATCTATATAGGGCAGTAATAAAGATGGACATGATTACAGTGTATGTAACAGTGCAACTTCAGCTTTTCTTTGGCTTTCTCAGCTTGGTAAGGCTTTTATAGAGCAATATTCCAGAGCCTGTGCTTTTTTCCTTTGGATAATAAATAATAATGACCCTTTGACCTCAAAATGTAAAATACAGAAGTAAAAATTCTGTAAAGTTATGAGTGTGTAACAAGTTGAAATGGCCGCATTTGACCGTGTGGAGCGAATGTCATCAGTGCTGCTCTGAAGGTGAGCACTTCCAGCAAATCTTGAAAATTATCTTTATCTTCTTGCTCTGCGAAGAAACCCTTGTGGAAGCTGAGTCATTAACCCCAATTTTTTAAACCTGGTTAACGTCATTGCGAAATCACTCGTCCACCAGATGAATAACTGAGATTTACCTTTCTGAAGGGTAATGGGAACCACAGGAGTTGCAGTGCTGAGACTGACACCTCTGATTGGAAACCTGAGAGTTAAAATAATTAATTGGTAACCAGACAGCTCTAACCCCAGGGCAGGCTCTGGTGTCTGGCGCTGTAGTGACTTCATATTTTTGGGTTTTGCTGAAGCTTTTAAGAGCTGTAAGCCTGCCATTGAGTTAATAGGTGTTGTATACCGAGTTTGAGCATCTTGGGCTTCTCATCATCTCATCCATGCGCTGGTTTTTGTATAAGAAGAAGAAAAGCAAAGATCTCCACAGCATAGGAAGGTGAGAGGGGGGAAAATAGCAGATTTTCCATTTTTTAAAATTACTTTTTCAATTTATTGATTTAATTTTGGTTTTCAGAGCTGTGGGTAGGAGGGGAAGGACTACATATGTGTGCGTGCAGTGGCTCCTCAGGGAGGGCAGCACCGAGGGTGAGGATGTCCTCAGCTGTGTTCAGTGACCATGCCCAGCTGGCGAATAGCTCCGATAGCACTAAATTAGTGGTATTTGCACTCAGAATTGTGCAGATGCACTTCTGAGGCTGACACCCTGGACTATGAGCCATGGAATTAAGCACCTGATTAACGTTGTCTCTTCTTGGTTTGTTTCTTTTCTTGGTTTTTTTTTTCTCCTCTGTTGATTTTCTTCCTCCTTTTCCTGCTTGACCCAGAAAAACTGATTGAGGGACTCAAATCTCCTGAGACCGCGCTTCTGCTCCCCGATATCCTGCCTCTCGCTGACCCCTTCGGTAGCACCTCAGACGCTGTGAATGGTAAAAAAGAAACTCAGGGCGCCTCCTCCGTGTGTCTTATGTTGCATTTCCTACCCCGCACGATAACTCTGCCTGTTTTCCCTTGCTGGGCTGCCGAAACAGCCGCTGATGGTGAAACACAACGGGATAGGAAGTTATGGATTATTTGGAGGCAGAGCTGCCTTCTCCCCATGCTAGAAATAGATTTTGATCTATCTGCCAAATGTGCTAAAGGATAACAGTTGCAGTCAGCTGCTTTTGGGGGTTTGGGTGCCCTGGTTGCCACTGCGTAGCTGTGAATAGAAAGGTAGGAAATGAGGCACCTCAGTAGCAAGACCTTTTCTCCCTTTTGCAGTTTTTGGCGGTTGTCTGAATACTTTTAGATGATGATCCTGTAAATCACACACACACACTGCTGTGCAAGCAGAAATATTCGTTAATTGTTCTCAGGCTGACCAGTTAGAGCATTTCTGGTCCTACCATTTGAGTACATCCTCCTTAATTTAACTTCTTGGTCATTGCCTTGAGGAAGAGACACAGGAAATCATTATACCTGCCTGGCGTGACTGGGACAGTCACTTTCCATGTCTCTCCCCCTTCACTTTATGGTTCTTATAGAAACAAATCTTTCTGTCAGGTTTGTAAACATCCCCTTTTGTATCCATATAATAGATGTTAAGTTAGAGGATACTGGGAACTGGGGTTTTCAATAGCATCTTGACAGTTTATCACCTCTCTGCTCCACTGGGCACTTGAAAAGACAAAAAAAGATCCCATGTGTTGTCTTTTTACAAGCTTAACTGCAGGTATTTTAATGATCTGTTACTTCTGATGCAAGGGGGCTCCTTGAAAGTTGCTGGAAAAAGATCTTGCAAAAGCTTGGGTTTATTTACCCAGCCCCAAGGCCTTCTGTGCAGCTGCAGGGCAGGCGTCACTGACCCATTCCACCCTCTGGGTGTTTCAAATTGGGCTTGCACAAATTAAAATAAATGAAAAGCCCAACAAACACTGATGTGTTGCAGTCCTCCCTTGTGATTAAATTAGCATTGGTCTAACTTCAGCCTCTGGTCAGCATTAAAGGGTCACTACAGGGTTCAGACAACGGCTGCTTTAGTTTCTACTTATGCTGTGCTTTGCAAACTAACCTCTGGCTTCTCCTCTGCTCTGCTGTTGCTCACGTTTGGAAAGGAAAACCCGACGTAGCTGTTGAGAGCCTCATACCGGGCCTGGAGGCTCCGCTGCCCCAACGCCTGGTGTCGCAGCCCGAGTCTGTGGCCTCCAACAGAACAGGTTGGTGAGGCTGGGGGGTGCTGGGGGGCAGGGGCCGTGGTGCTGGCGTGGGCTGTGTGAGTGGGAAAGCACCGACTGCTTCAGCACGAGCATCTCTGCTGCTTCTCCCACCGGTGTAAACTGGGCTCGCTCGTGTGTCCTCTGAGTGGGTGCTGCGTGGTTCCCTGAAGGTCAAAGTGTTACTTGAGGAGTGGTACAGAATTTCCTTACCCCTCCGCTGTGGATCTGGAGATGCCAGAGGATTGCTCCCATGAAATGCTTTTGAAATGTGGAGCAGTCGCTGATTTTTGTCTGTTCCACTGGGGCACGGTCGTGAAAAATTCATGGCCTCTCCTGACTGCCAAGGCCTTGATCTGCCCACAACCAGATGGACTCAGTGTCTCTTGTGAAATAGCCAGTGCTGTTTTCTCCTTGCACCTTTTTCTCTTCCCCACACCCCTCTTCAATTCCCCTACCTTAACCTGTCTCTTCTGTGGGATTTCGTTGCTGTACTCAGTTTTCGAGGGCTGTTACCCCCAGGGAATGTGTTCAATGGTGCTAAAGGTGTTGGGAATCCCTCAGTGCAGAGCAGTGAGGAATGGTTTCACTCACAAAAAACGGTAGCTTTTGTGCTGGCTTTGCATCAGAGCTCTGTCTGTGGGAACAGGAGTGGGAGGAGATGAGGTTAACGGTGTCTGTGTCCTCTTCAATGCTGCCCCGTGGACGCTGCCCTGGCTGCAGACTCTCTCACTGGGGAAGACTCTCTGCTTGACTGTTCTCTGCTTTCTAACCCTGCCGCTGACCTCGTGGATGAGTTTGCTCCCGTAGCTTTCGCAGCTCAGCCTCACAAAGGTAAACTGTCCCTTTGTTCCTAACACCTCACCACTCCTGGCACTCTGTTTTTAGCTGAAGCTGATGCAGGTTTACACAAGCAGATGCTCTGCCCTGTGTTCTGGTGCTGGTTTATTTGTTTTCCCCGAGCCATCGCTTTGTTTTCTTCCCAAGCTGGTGAAACTTGGAGTGCACATTGAAGGACTAAGGGGAGAAAATAGAGATAAAAGTATTCAGCTTGGCTGTAAAGACAAGGTCTGTCAAGGCAGGTGGCATTTTCCATGAAGCAGAAGGGATGCAGTAGGCGTAAAGGGTAGGATTTTGGATGCAACCCTTCAGGTTTGTAAGTGAATGCACTTTGGTTTTGCTTTTTGCACATAGGCTTTAGGACGTGTTTTTGTATTACATTATTAATTCTGGGAGGGAGCCTGATAATCTTCTATACTGGTGCCACAGGTTTGAAACAAAAGGAGTTTTTGTGGGATGACTGAACTCTTCCAGATCTGGAGAGCGTTTCGCTTTGCAGGGGTTATCAGGAGTAGGCTCCCAAGTCCATCTGCAGTCTTGCAGCAAATACGAATGGGTGTGCGCAGTATCCAGTTGGACAAGGGACCGGATTTTCATAATAACACAAAAAAGCAGAGCCAAAGACGAGAAGCAGACCACGTGTGGTAATTCCTAAGAGCTGCAGCTCAGCCCTTGCAGTCCATCACCATTTGAGCTTGAGTGCCGTTGTGGAAATGCCACGCAGCGAGCAGAGCGCGGTTCTCTCTCCATCAACCAGCACGAGGGAGAGGACCCTGGGAAGCTGCGTCCAAACTCCGATGTGTTTTTATTTTCAAGCTGCTCATGCAGCTGAGATCTGCGCCCTCTCCATGCAGCGTGGCTGGAGCGGTGGCACTGGGGTATTTTGAAGAGCTGGGGCGTGACTTGCATGGGGATCCCTTCCTGCTCTGCTCTGGTGCATCCCTATTCCCATCCCTAAAGCAGCTGGGAGCGCTGCTGTGTCCCCTGGGGACAAGGCCAGGCGTTAGCGGGTGACTCCCAAGCTCATAGTGAATATTGGGCAGTGCACATGCACCCTGGTGGGAGAGAAAACCAGGATTTCTCTGCTATTTCTTGCCTTGAAAAGGGAGGCCCAGAGCACAAAGGGGGTGCCCCTTGACGATGGGTTTTGTTTAGCTCGTTTGGGAAATATCCCTATAGCAACAGCAAATGGTCTGTCCTTAGAGGAATCGCTATAAAAACAGTCTGTAATCAATTTTTACACTTGATGGCACTTCAAAAAATGAGTTTGGGTTTTTTTCATAGAGCTTTTGGGTTTAAACAAGCAGTTGTTCTAATTGCTCGCTGCTATAATACACTTCCATGCCACTTTATTTTGAGTAAATAGCTTGAAATGTGTGTTGAGCAATTATTACTCCGCGTCTGGAACATAGCAAAGCCAAAATATTGTCGGTGTGGCTTAATGAGAAAATGAATTAACAGATTCCTGCATGGCTTATCCCAGGCTGCCCTGCTGCTCCCTCTGGGATGAGGAAGGCTCACATTTGAGGAGGAAAATGAGACTTCTATTAACAGGAGAGGGAGGAAATATATTAAAATCTTCCAAAACTCATTTGTGGCTGCTTCTCAAGCCCTGCTGTTACAGCTCTGGGTGTGCTAATTCACTGTACATCTGTCTCAGTTATTTTTTGGTTTGCTTTGTTGATCCAATGCAGGCTTTGGGGATGTAAAACCCCATTGGGGTGCCTGTGAATAATCAGTGGAACAGCAGCGCTGCGAATTATGGCTGGGACCAGGAGGGCTTGAAAGCACAGCCATGGTCTGGGCATGGACTGATGCTCCAGCCATGCCAGAGCATCCCTTCCTTTGTGCTTTATTTATTAGGCTGGTTTTCAGCCTCTGGATTTTTGCTCAGTCTTCAGGATTCCTTAATCCGCATTAATTTAATTAGCACCGAGCTGTATGTATGTGAGAGGAAGAATTTTTCTACTTATGCATTGTCACTAAAGGGAGCTCAGATGTTTTTGAATGAGCTTTTCCCCAGAGGGACCCTCGCCAGCCTTTCCCTTTTCTTAGGAAAATGACATTTAGGGAACAAAACCGGGACAGAAAGAGCCCATAACTGAGCACTGCTCCTTCAGCAGCTTCTTGTACCCAAACTCCAGAGCTCTGAGCGATGGGATGGATAAATGAGGAGGAAACGGGATGGGTAAATGAGGAGGAAACGGGATGGGTAAATGAGGAGGAAATGGGATGGGTAAGTGAGGAGGAAACGGGATGGGTAAATGAGGAGGAAACGGGATGGGTAAGTGAGGAGGAAATGGGATGGGTAAATGAGGTGGAAATGGGATGGGTAAATGAGGAGGAAATGGGATGCTTGCAAAGGCTTCACGTAGGTTGAGAAGAGCCACAAATAAATAATTCCAGAGACAGTGATGGCAAGATGAGACTTGCTGTTAAAGTGCAATGTTTTAATGGTTTTTTAATGGCTTGTCTCCTATAAAACTTGTGCTTTTTTCCCTGGGTCTGATACCAGAGGACGTTGTATTTCCACAAGTGGTTTCTTGCATCATCTCACCCAAAAGCTGTTAGCACATTTGTCAGCTTTGGGTAAAGAGCTTTTGTTCCTGATAGGAGTCGAGCAGGAACGTCCCTGTTTCTTGGAAACCATCGACTTGCACACGTCCTCGCTAGGCTTTCAGCAATATTTCAGGTAGTAATTGAGAAGGGGATTTTGGAAAGTATTTTTGGTATCTGAAGTAGTGATGCACAGCGAGAGTGTGAGAGTCCCTGAAGGTACGTAGCTGCCTGATAAGGCAGTTAAACGTCTCATGTACTGAGGAGATTTAAAGTGCCTCCCACCAAGTGTCGAACTGCAGCTGACGTGGTTCATAATCAATGGCATTTGGTGCCACAACTGCTCCAGGGGCCTTTATTAAAAATATCTCGGTATCTAGTTATGTCTCGAGGCATTTAAACTCCTTGGAAATCTGACTTCATGTTGTACTTCTTGTTTTGTCGCTGTAGGTGAAAGCTCAGGGGTCGTCTCCCTGTACGTAAGGGTTGGTAACCAGAGCCAGATCGCTCTCAAAATGTATTAATACCTAACAGCCACTGGATGATGGCAAAGAGTAACTCTGGGCCTTGGGAACTTACAGCTCTGAGCTATTCCAACATTTAAACCTTCAGATTGGCCACATTTTATTTTGGTTCTCCTGACTTAACTTGCTTTTTGGTTTATTTCCACCTCCCCTCCTTTGTATTTAATTGTCTCTCTTGCTACTTACCTCCTTTCCCAAAGCCTTACCAACCTTATTTCACCTTTTAAAATGAAACTCCTGCTTCTAAACCCTGAAACAGAAATAGATCCTAACGCTTTTTAGCGATTTCTAACCAGCCTTCTCTGCTATCTTTGCTTCTCTTCCTTTCTGCTGTGTCTCCTTTGTGCTGCAGAAGATACTAACCTGATCTCAGGCTTTGATGCTCCTGAGGGCTCTGAAAAAGTGACAGAAGATGAGTTTGACCCAATTCCAGTGTTGATATCCAAAAATTCACAAGGTAAGCCAGGATTTGGGGGTGAAAAGAAGAAGGAAAAAAAGAAAAGCAATGAACATAAATTAGTTCTGGGGCAGTGGTGCTGCAAGGAATGCAAATTATAAGATACTGTTACTGGAGTATTTAGGGAGCGTAGTCTTTCTCTGATTTACAGTAGCCATGAAATTTCTCTAGATTCTCTGACAAAAGTGTGTGTCCAAAAAGACAATAGATATGAAAGCATCTTTAGGTCCCAGGAAGTAATTTCTACCAGTAAAATACACAGATACCTCTGTGGCAAAAGTGCAGTGGAGAGCTGCGTTCTCCAACGTTTTTATTTAAAGTGTCTGACCAGGGCAAGGCCGTCCCTTCAGCTGAAGTGAATTTAGCCTAAGGTGCAAGAAAGGCAGGTGCTGATAACCCTTTTTGGCTTAAACTCCTCTGAAAGTGAGCTTTTTCCCTTCTGACCAATATCTTTCAAAGCTGCTTGTGGGGAGGAGCGTGAGACATTTGAAAGGCACCCACCTCCTTGGAGGAGTCCTTGGGCCAGGCTGGAGAGCTCCTGCTTTTACAGCACTGCTGTCACCCAGATCACACGAACGTGATCGGATCCCACGAATGTGCTCTTTGCAAAGTTTTTGTAGGGTTCGGTGTAAGCAGCAGCACTATTTCCTTAACAGAAATAAGAGTGCTGTGTTTTACAGCTCTTGCAAGGACAGGCGCGGGGCAGGGTTTTGTAATCAAATCGCTCGTCTCTGCATTCGGGCCATTGAAAAGTTTTGATGGCAGCTTTCAATATGTTAGCGTAGCTTTAAAAACACACTCCAGGGCTCCCCTATTTTTTGCTTTTTTTAGTTTTGTTGATTTTTTTAAAAGTTTTTTCTTTAGTTTGGTGGTAGAACTTCTGTTGACTTCCCTCCCTCCCTCCCGTTTTTGC